CAGTTTCAAGTTGATGCTGTGATGTAGCAATGTGAGTTATGGGCAGCACAACATAGGTCCTTCTGTGCAGTAATGCAGCCATATGAACTCTAGGAAGCTCCCTAAACAGGGCTCAGGGCTTGTAAGGACTGTAGGCATCTGTAGAGGTAACAGGAAGTGTGGGGGGCCTCCTGCATACCTTTTCCCTGCATGGAGAATACTTCCTGGTTCTGAGCTGATCCTCACTAGGAGACTGGGGGGGGGGTGGCAGAAGCAGGATGTTTTCTTACCTTCTCTATGCAGCCATCCTGAGTGTTTGTGCCCCACAGGGTTTTGCCACTCCTTTGCTGTTTGTACTCCAGCACTCCTCTTTAGATTCTCTAGTCAAATGTCATCATTTATTTGTTGTTTTCGTCATTTTATTTTGGTGGGGGGTGACTGTAAGTCACCTCTAGTCAGCTATCTTGCTGACATCCTGATTAACTTTCTTGATAATTAGATGGTCAACGACCACACAGTTGGCTGATGAATAAGCTGGTAGTGTTAAGGAATGGGTGCCAAGTGCCAGGAGTATATCTGTCATAAACAAGCTGTCTTGATTAGAGAGATTGGGGACTTGAGGATTTGGGTCAGGTAAAGAAATTCCCTTGACAAAACCCCACAACTATATGCAAATATATTATTTCTAGAGGCAGGCTTCAAGTTGAGTCTTATATCATTCATGCAACATTTATTTCTTTAAACATTTAACTATTTTAATACCTATTATACATTATAGTACTTATTATGAGATATACAGTGATTTAAAAATGCAGTTCCTGTCCCCAAGAAGCTTATAGACTGTGGTAAAGGGTGAGCATAAAGGGAGGGCAGCAAACAGATGAATGGATTTTCAAGGACTACAACATGGGGAAGCCCAAGGTATGTGAGACCAGCCAGGGGAGATTTCAGCCCCAGTTAGTGGTGGTGTGATAATCAAAGAAATCTTCCCCAAATAGGTGACATCTAAACTGAGACCTTAAGAGTTGGATAGATTATGCTTCAAGGAGTAGGGAACAAAAACATTCTAGGTATCAGGATCAGCATCTGAAAAGATGCATAAATAAGAAAGAATAAGCATTAATACAAGCAATGTAGGTGTTACACTTTGGCTGGAACATACATGATCAACTGGAGAATGAGGAAAGGTAGAAGAAAACAGAGGTCTAGGGGTGTTGAGTTAAACTGTAGGAATGATCATTCATTTGATATGGAACTTACTGAGGATAATCATAAGACTTTGCAAGAAGCCCCATGGGCCAGGTCTCAAATTCCTAGGTGAATGATGAGGAAGGACCAAGAGACTGGTGAATGATGCTGGTGATAATAATGATAGCTAAAATTTGCATGAGCTTATGGGGTCTTTTTCTAAGTACTTTCCATATACTAAGTTAATTAAGCCTCACAACAAATCTGTAAGTTAGATACTGTTATTAACTTTATTTTTATAGTTAACTGCATGAAACAGTTTAAACCATATTTTGAGGGAGATTGAATGAGTTACAGCAGGGGGTTGATGTGGTAACTGGGTTATAATCATCACACCTATATCAATGTGAGAATGGTTTGAGAAGAAGCAAAGTTTCTAGGGAGACTAGATAGCAGTGCATTGTATTGAACCAGGAGGAAGAAGTGGTTTAAACTGAAGTACTAGCAGTGAGTATAAAAAAAGAAGTAAACAGGTATTGCAGATTGTAAGAGGGTCAGTTTAGGGATTGATTGAATGTGAAGGTGGTAAGTCATTGAGGATGATGCCCAGACTTCTGGTTGGCTAACTGAGTAGATTATAGTATCATTTATTTAAGTTGGGAGGAAAAAAACAGGCGTTAGTATAGGGGGTAAAATGTTGAATTATTTTTAGAGCATTTTGGATTTGAGATGCCTACAGATTATGCACAGAGACATGTCAAGTAGAAATGGGTATAGACAGACTGAGTGTTCAAAGTCATGTCAGAGGTGAAGATACACATTTGGCAGTAGTTAACATCTAGGTAATAACTAAAGTCATGGGAATGAATGAGATTATTTAGGGGGCAAGTATAAAGTGAGATGAAAAGGGGATTGAGGTTGAAACCCTGAAGAACACCCAGTATGTAAGGGGTGGATAGCAGAGGGGTCCACAAAAGAAGTAAAAAGGAACCAATGAGGTGGGAATAAAAGGAGTGCATATTCAAACTAAAGGAAACTGTGTTATAACAAAGGGAGTTATCAAAGTATGAGATGTTACAGAGAAGTCAAAATAAAAACTGGAAAGGGAATATTGAGTTATATCAAAGAACTCTTTGCTGATCTTATGAAGAACAGTTTCGTCAGTGTGGTCAGGAGAGAACATTATAAAATGCCAAAGAGTAAATGAGAGGTGGGAAATAAGAAGCAACTTGCATGGGAACTTTTTACAAATGTTAAGCTGAAAAGTGGAGGGAATAGAGGGTGATATCTATAGAAGGTGTTGTAGGGTTCAGGTGGGTTCTTGTATGTTATATCTCTTTAAAATATTAGAATGGGGGAGCTTTGAGAATGGCGCAGTGTTCATAGGAAGGTGCCAATAGAGAGGGGCAGGGGGTGTATCTGAGTGGGAAGGGTGTTTGAGGAGGTGGGAGGGGATGAGATCCAGAACCTCACTTGAAGGATTCATTTCAGTAGGACCAGTCCATTCTCCCACTATTGTTAGGAGCTGCAGAAATGTTATAGGATAGATTTGTAGCTCATAGCCTGAGGAGCAAGTCTTTGGAGTTTCTTTCTGATGACTTTTCTATAGTTTTAGTGAAGTAGACATCAAGGTTAGCTAATGGGCTATAACAGACTGAAATTGGTAGAAGAGAGAATTTGAAGAAAAGTAGAAGGTTTGAAACAGCCATTGGGGACAATTGAAGAGTGGAAGGCCCAGGGAGAAACAGACACATTTGTCAAGGAGTGTTCAGGGTCTGCTTTCGTTTGCATACTTTACCAAACTACTAAAGAGAATCGTGGTTTATGTGATGCATTTCAGTGTATTCAGCAGCTTCGGTATAAAAATGGTGGGGTTAGAGTGTGCCTTAATTTCAACAGTGGGGTTTTGCCAGAAAGTTGTGATGAACAGAAATTAGGTACATAGAATTGATAATCTTCATAAGAGAGTGGTACAGTCTTTGGCCTGAGATTTAGGCCTACTAGAGAAGGAACTATAAGATGGAAGGAGGTTGAGACCTGGAAGAAAAGAAGTGGAATCAAGGTCTTAGTGGTAAAGATGAGGTCAAAGATCAGAAAAATAGGAGTCCATGAGTTTAGAAGCTGGAAAAATCAGGTACTATATATTAAAGGTCATATTTTTTCAAATTTATTTTTTCCAAGTGGAAATATTCTTCATGAAAACCAGGTCGTTACGGCTTGGGAGGAAGTGGCTGAAGTAGAATGGAGTGAGAGTCATCATATTTGAGGAAGTCAAGAAGCTTTGCATTAAGGTGTTGGATGGGCTATGTATGTGGGTGCCGAAATTTCTCAAGGTGATTCAGGCCTTGCAAGGCAGTGGAAGTCTACAGTCTAGCCTTCAGAAATTTTAGTGGATGATGGGAAGGGACAAAGAGTATGGAAGGTGACAGTAGTGAGGACATGTGGAGGGTAGCCCAGCTGAGGGTGGAAGAGTAATGGTCTGGATGCAACCGACATTAGGAGCTGAGTACTTGGAGTGTGATACATTGAGCAACAACCATTTGAGAGGGAGAGAGGGAGAACAGTTTTGGGAGGAAGATATGAATTGGTTTTAAATTAAGACTTAAAAGGGAGAACCTCTTGTCCTGAAACTAATGATGCATGAAAGATTGTTTATTTAGCCTGTGTCAGGGGTTCTAGAGGACCAAAGTAGAAAGTAGGAAGAGAATTCAGAGGGTGAGGGCGGGTGCAGGAGCTGGGATTATGAAATAAGAATGGTCCAATGAGGGTGGTGACTGAAGCCAATGTGGATGGGAAGGTATGTCTGAAATTGTCTGCATCCTTTGCCCACTGCATCCTTTACCCACTGCAGTCCTAATGTTCGTACTGGTATTTTTCAGTTTTTCCCAAAAGACATATGTGTTCTATAAGGAATAGTATGTGCTTCCCTGTTTATGATGAATGCATGACATACATGGAAGAAGGTTGCCAGGGCAGAAGTTTGATAAATGAAAATAGCCGGCAAGGTTTAGGTAAGCATCTTTACAGGTACTTTTTTTTTTGAGACAGAGTCTCACTCTGTTGCCCAGGTTAGAGTGCCAGGGCATCAGCCTAGCTCACAGCAACCTCAAACTCCTGGGCTCAAGGGATCCTCATGCCTCAGCCTCCCAAGTAGTTGAGACTACAGACATGCACTGCCATCCCCGCCTAAATTTTTTCTATTTTTAGTAGAGGTGGGGTTTCACTCTTGCTCAACCTGGTCTCAAAGTCAATTGATCCTCCTGCCTGGCCTTCCAGAGTGCTAGAATTAGAGGTGTAAGCTACTGCATCATGTCTACAGGTACTTTTTCTCACCAGTATTTGTGTCACACATACAGGATTACGCATGGCCCAAGCTCCTAGTTGTAGCCCAAAGAAGAAAAAGTCCTACTTTAAGATGAAAAAAACTTGTTTTTCTACCAACAAGAACAACTTGGAAACTCACAATACAGGTGAGGTGGGCCTCAGTTCACTGCTGTGATCTATAGGGATTCAAGAACTCAGCTTCAATGCTCTCCTGTCTTTTGTCTTTCTCTACCTAGGAGGTAATCTGTTTGAAAAGCATCAGGCAGAAGGTGAGATTTGTTCAGTCTCTATGTTTATAAGGGTCAGTCCCGCTAGCTTCATTAATATAGGATCTTGAAGCCTATGCAGTGGAGTTGGGGTGACCCCTCGTTGACCAAACCCCATTGCCATCTCTGCTCACATAGCTAGCCTGCGGGCGGAGCCTTCCACCTGCAGAACTCTGGTGCCACCCTCTTTGCGTCCCTCTGCACTGATCTTCCTTTGACAAGTTGAGTCTGAAGCTCTTCTGGATGCTGTCTTTGGCTTTCTCTCTGTGGCACTCTCGCTATAGCCTGCCTCTGAAATTGGCACCCTCTCTGGCGTATGCTAAGGGGCCAGTAGCTCTGTAATTTCCCATCTTCTCTCTTTTTCCTCCCAAAGACGATAGAGAGAATCATCTTATACAGCTGATAGCCCTACAAAATGCAAATGGTTCTTGGGATCTGAGTGAAGATCTGGCCAAGGCCCTAGACGTGAGTTTGGCAGATATAACAGCTGTACACCCTACCGAGGTAAGATCCAAATGACAAAAAAAGGAATAGGTATGTTTTTGAGGGAGAGAGGTCAGTAATGAGAATTGGAGTGGGTCAGGACCCACCTTAGGAACGAGAATATAGGGGGCCATAGACTAAATGAATTTGCAATCAATAGAGATTGAAGGTTTTTCTACTTATATAAGAGCAGAAAGAATAAGGAATTAATGGGTTAGCTAATAGGAGTTGATGGTTTAGTGGCAATGGATGGCAAAGGGAAAGCAAAAATGCTCTTCCACTTTAATTATATTCCCTATCAATCATCTTAGTTATATAACTAATATTTTATGAGCAATTACTCTGTGCTAGGCACTGTGCTAAGCCTTTAACATTCATGATCTTATTTATTTCTCACATTAATTAAATAGAGTAGATCCTCTTTGTGTTGCTATTTATACATACCCTGAAGCTTAGAGGGGTGTACTAATGCATGTGGGTTTATCCAGCCAGGCAGTGGCAGAGCCAGGTTCAATTCTACGATTATTTGTCTTCAAAACCACAAAGTGATAACGCCATTATTGGTCCTCTTCATACTAAAGGAAATAGTCCAGATATTAGAAAAAGTTCATTAAAGTTGGGATAGGTGAAGTGTTCATAGGGACCATCTAGTTATTCAAATGTGTTCAAATATGCTGACATGAATTACATTTCAGAATTTCAAAGTGATATGCTAAAACTTCTCATAGTCATAGAGAAATTGTTCAATATGAGGTAGGTGCAAAAACCTGAAGGACAAATAATCATTCTGAATGTTCCACATGTGGAAAGTAATTAAATATACCTCAAAGATTCTATAATTGCACTGTTTAATGTGGCTAATGCAAATGAGGAACTAAATTTTTTATTGAGTGGCAGTGTGCTATGATATAAAATACATATTGATTTCCAAGAGTATCAAAAAAACACAAAATATTTCATCAGTATTTATTTTATACCAATTGCCTATTAAAATGATATTTTTAATATATTGAATTAAAGAAAACATATTAGTAAAATAATTGTACCTCTTTATTGTTACATTTTTAAATGTGGCTTCTAGGAAATCTAAAATTACATCTGTACCTACCCTTATGTTTTTATTATAATATGCTGTTCTAGAACAAGTAATTAAAACAATAATTTAGAAACACTTGAAGGAGCATACGAGGATCATGAAATTTTAGTTTATATTCACTGACAAGAAAAGTCAGGCTGACATTTCCTTCTTTGTCATAGTAACCAGGCTAGTGAATCAAAGAAATAGACCTGGAGTATTTGAATTTCAATAAGGATTTGAATTTTTTTTTTAAATATTGACTAAGTACATGGACCAAGTACAAACCAGTTGAAAACCCATAACTCTGAATAATAAATTGATTTCAAACTTGAAACAGAATTTCAGACCTATCTGGCTCTGAATTCTCTGGAGGTTCATAGTTTCAGTGAAGATTTAGAAGAAGATGTAGATCAAGGCTCTCCTATTTGTAGATGACAAAACTGGGAGATAAAGTGTTAGATAAGAGGATCAGAATGCCCAAAAGACTTATGAATTGCAGTTTCCATGAGAAAAAAAACTTAGTAGGAACACAATTCAGGTACTATTTTGTGTTCCAAAGTAAAAGTACGGAAGAGAAGCAAAATAACTTACAAGCACTTGCACATGGAAATTGGAGGTTTTAGATGACTACGAACAATATAAATGAGTATATTTGAAACAGGATTAGTAGAGTGCGACAGGATTAGTTAGTTGAAAAGCTACAGTATTCTCTCCAGGTGTGCCCATTTAAGGAGATATATTTTTAAAATCATTATGATATTTGGGATGACAAGTGTGAAGATTCTTACTGCTTTGACATAAGCAGTCCTTATAAGGAAGAAGGGAAGGAATTGAGAATTTTGACCTGAAATAAGAGTGCTCAGAGAGGACATGATAGCTGTTTCCAGAGTTTAAAGGTCATGATACAAAGGAGGAATTTCCCTTTATCTGTTGACTCTGAAAACTCATGGGAGACAATTTTCTGCTCTGTGGCTAAGATTTTGTGTTGCGAAATATGAGCAACATGCCCAGAATCTCAATTTTTGACCTTTGGTTCCACTCCATCAGTGCTAGAAGGCTAACTTTGGGAAATCATTTTACTTCTGTATGAATCAGTTTTCTTTCTTACAGATGTGGTTGATATTTTCTCATGATTTTGTTCAGGGTTGAGGGGGTTCAAATTTAAAAAAAAATATTAAGGCACTTTATAAAGTGATTATGTACGTGTTTCTCCTACCAGAGCTGGGTAATACTTGTCCAGGTGTTTTAGGGGTTTCCAGCACTGTCCTGGTGGTTACACTGGATTTAAAACTTGAGACCTGTCTACTCTAAGACTTAGTGGATTGTTGCCCCAATGGAGGTAAAGAGAGACCAGGTAATTCCATTTAGTAGCAGTCTGAAGGATGGTGAGTGGAGAGGGAGTGAAGCTTTTTGCATGCTCTGGGGGAAAGGATCTTTCACTAAGACAGTAGGTCTAGCCCTCGAGTTTCTTTAAGCTGTGGAGTGAACTGGTACTAGAGGCGTGTAATCTCCGCAAGGTCTTTCTTCCAGGTTTGTTTATCCTGAATGTGATCGCTGGAATAGAGCTGTAGGCACCACCTGGAAGTTGTTAGATCCAAGGAAATTCAGTGCACACCCACAGAACTATAATAAAAGCCTGCATTTTAACATAAAGCCCCAAGCTAATTTGTGTGCAGTTAGCAATTTTTTTTTTTTCAAGAAGGCCTTTAGTATTTTCTGAAATACGGTTTATAATTGAGTCTGTCATCTAGGTGGACTATCTATGTAGATATAAAAAGATACAATTTAGCTAAGACCATGGAACCTTGTACAACTACCCTCCTGCACCAAAAAGATGTCACTTACACTCATTAATTGCCAGAACATTTATTTTACACCTATGTTTTCTCTTCTTCCAATCCTTCAGCTCCCCCAGACTGGGACACGGCTTGCAGGCCTTAAGTGAGAGCTTCTAAAGCAAAAATGAAAAACAGACAGTAAACAAACAAAACACACTTTGCACAAATCAATTTTTCTCCTTTAAAATACAAGAACCAACTAACAGTTTTAATATTAGTGTGGTTTTATTTCTCATTTGAGCTCCCATACAATGAATGGCCCAACTGTAAAATTTCTCAAATCTTAAGCAAGTATCAGTCTTCATAATCAGCAAATAATTGTTTCGGAACATTTGT